TTTTCTTTTTTATACCTATCCTCTCCAACCATTGGATCTCACTAACTAGATCTAGACCGTCCATTCTCCATTAAATCTCAGCCATTCGATTTCCTCATACAGTTCGATCAGGACCATCCGTTCTCTGTTTCTTTTTGCCTCATTCCACTTCTACTTATTTAAACTTTTACCCCCATTTTTTTTATTTACTTTCATTTAAGTCCTTAAAATTACTTAAAACGCTCAAAATTAATAACATCCTTTCATTTAAATCCAATTCTCAATTTTTTATTTATTTTTCACAAATAAAAGGGGTGGATGTTACACAAGATGATGCTGATAATAAAAGACAAAGGTTAACTGTCAAATAGAGACCGTGGAAGAGGAAGAGAAAGAGGAAGAGCTAACTATAGAAATTATAACAAATCAAATATTAAATGTTACAATTGTCATATATATGGACATTATGTTTGGGAAAGAGGAATAATATCGTAACACTTCAAACAGGAAGGAGGAACAAGCCAATTTTGTCAATGATAAACAAGATGAGGAAGAAACAACTTTATTACTAACATGTAAAGAGGGAGATAGTGATATCCATAATTCATGGTACTTGGATAATGGAGCAAGCAATCACATGTACGACAATAAAGAAAAATTTATTGAGCTTGATGAGAAGATTAATGACAATGTTTCTTTTGGAAACTCTTCAAAAGTTCAAATTCAAGGAAAATGTACAATTTTAATCTCTTTTAAAAAATGATGGGCATGTACTTATTACTAATGTTTACTATGTGCCAAAGTTAAGGAGTTATATTTTGAGTTTGGGACAGCTTCTTAAAAATGGATATGAAATTCACATGAAAGATAATGTCTTTGGTTTAGAGATTAAAGAGTTAATTTGATTAATAAGGTGCATATGTCAAATAATAGAATGTTTATCTTGAATCTCAAAACTATTGAAGCAAGATGTTTGAAGGCTAGTGTGGAAGATAAAGCACGATGTTGACATATAAGATTTAACCATTTCAACTTTGGCGCACTCAAGGCAATGCAAGAAGAAAAAATAGTGAAATCGATGTCATTAATCAACCATCCTAATCAATTATATGAAGCATGTCTATTTAGAAAGCATTCAAGAAGGAGTTTCCCAAAAGAAGTTACTACAAGAGTAACTAAACTACTTCAACTTGTGCATGCCGATGTGTGTGGGCCAATCAATCCACCTCATTTGGTAAAAACAAATAATTTCTACTATTTATTGATGATTTTAGTAGGAAGACTTAAATACATTTTTTAAAGCAAAAATTAGATTTTTTTTCTGTTTTTAAAAATTTCAAAGCTTTTGTAAAAAAATATTGTAGTTGTGAAATAAAGTTTTTGAGAACAAATAGAGGAGGTGAATTTACTTCTAAAGAATTTTATGATTTTTATGAATCTAATGGAATTCGTCGCCTGTTAATGGTTCCAAAATCACCACACAAAAATGGAGTTATACAGAGAAAGAATAAAACTATTCTTAATATGGCTAGAAGCATGTTGAAAGTAAAAAAACATGCCCAAGGAATTTTGGGCCGAAATAATTTTTTGTGCAGTATATTTATCTAATAGGTCTCCCACATCAAGTTTGAAAGACATGACTTTTTAACAAGCATGGAGTGGAATGAAACCTAATGTCAACGATTGCGAGCTTTTAGAAATATTACATATGCTCATATTCCACAATAAGAGAGATTCAAGCTCAATGATCGAAGTGTCAAGTATATTTTCATTAGTATGATGCAAACTTAAAAGGCTATAAATTATATAATTCAAGCAATGGCAAGATCATGGTAAGTAGAGATGTTGAATTTAATGAAAAAGCAACATGGAATTGAGAGAAGAAAGAAAAAAATACTTATGATTTCTTTCCGTACTTTGAAGAGGAAGACCAAGGGACCATGGTACCATTGCAAAAGGCAACTCCACCTCATTCTCCAACTCATGTTACATCACCCACTTCTCAAGGAAGTTTAGGTAAAAGGCCATGAAAATTAAAGAGCATTCAAGATCTCTATGATGAAACTGAGGACATCACTAACTTTGATTGAAATTATTTGTTTTGTCTTTTTCTTGACAGTGAACCAATAAATTTTGATGAAGCCATCAAAGATGTAAGTGGAAACAATCATGGAGGAAGAGATCAAATCCATAGAAAATAACAACACATAGGAGCTATTCACTCTTCCTAAGGGACATAAAGTTATTTGTGTCAAATGGTCTGTAAAGCTAAAAAAGATTCTCAACAAAATGTGAAAATGTACAAGGAAATACTTATGGCTAAAAGATACAAGCAGAAGCATGGGGTTGATTATGATGAGGTTTTTGCACGAGTTGTTCGCATGGAGACTATTTGTTTGCTCTTAGCTATTTTAGCTCAAATGAAGCGGAAAATTTTATAACTTGACGTAAAATCGGCATTTCTCAATAGCTACCTTAATAAAGAGGTTTATGTAGGACAACAATTGGGTTTCACTGTTGAATGACATGAAAATAAAGTGTTGAAATTGAAGAAAGCTTTGTATACGCTAAAACAAGCGTCAAGAGTATGGGATAGCCATATAAACAAGTATTTTGAAGATAATAGATTTATTTGTTGCCTTCATGAATTATGCTCTTTATGTGAAGTATCGTTCTAATGGTGATATTCTATTTATGCGTCTATATGTGGATGATCTCATCTTCACAAGCAACAATCCAAGTTTGTTTAAAGAATTCAAGAAAAACATGTTACTTGAATTTGAAATGACTGATACGGGGCTCATGTCTTACTATTTAGGCCTTGAGGTGAAGCAAACGGAAGATAATATTTTTATTTCTCAAAAAGGCTATGCAAGAAAAGTCTTAGAGAAATTCAAAATATTTAATTGCAATCCTGTGAATACGCTTATGGAATGTGGAGTCAAGTTATCAAAGTTTGATAATTGAGAAAAAGTCGATCCCACTCTCTTTAAAAGTCTTATGAAAAGTTTGAGATAATTGATATTTACAAGGTTTAATATTATATTTGCAATTAGACTAATAAGTCCTTTTATGGAACCTCATACTGTCTCCCACATGAATATTGTTAAAAGAGTTCTACGTCACCTTAAAGGTGCTGTTGATTTTGAGTTATTTTATTCATCTTATAATGATTTCAAACTTGTGAGATTTTGTGATAGTGATTTCATTAGAGATATTAATGATAGAAAAAGTACAACTGGTTTTGTACTCTTTATGGATAATTGTGCAATTACATGGAGTTCTAAGAAGCAAGTCATTATTACACTATCAACTTGTGAGTCTAAATATGTAGTAGCAATCTCTTGTGCTTATCATGTCATATGCCTTAAAAGATTATTTAAAGAACTTCATTTGACACAGGACAAAGATACTAAAACTTTTATTGCCAATAAGTCCGCACAAGCATTAGCCAAGTACCTAGTATTTCATGAATGAAACATCATATAAACACAAAATATCATTTTATTAGAGATTGCATTGCTAAAAAAGAAGTAGAGCTCAAGCACGTAAAGATTGAAGATCAAATGGCGGATATTTTTACCAAACAGCTCAAGTTTGAAGTCTTTCAAAAGGTACAAGCTAATCTTGGATTGAAAAGGAGATTTGCAAATTAAGGGGGAGTATTAAGAATTAATTTGCAAATCAGAATATAATTAATCAGTTTCTTAGTAGTTGAACTTTATACATTAGAATATTTATTTATCTTTTGGTTTGTTAGTAATTGTGGGTCATAAATTAGATTTATTATATTTGTTTGTGGTTATAATTAATTATAATAGTTGTAATAGTGTCTATAAATAGTCATATACTTGAAGCTTTTTTCGAACAACCATAATATAAAAAATTTAAGTTTTCTCATTAGTCTCTCTAGCCTCTTCCTCCTAACTCCAACAGTTCATACATGCTACTAAATTTGCATAATGTCATGATATACATATATATATGCATTTATAATCTCAACGACTGCAAATTGCAAAGTTCGACACACCCTCTTTATTACTTAGAGTCAGAAGTTGAGCAACAAATATAGAAGGTAAGATGGTACAGCATTTGAAATCTCAGTTTTTCACCAATTTCTCCGCGGTCAGTAGAAAAGTAGAATTTTAAATAAGAGCTCCCATAAAATTTTGAAGGAGTTGCGCCTTTTCCTGTCCAACCAATTGTTCCAAAACAATCAACACAATACATAGGAAAGCTCACTTGTAAATCAAAAAATATCTTTATATATTTTCAATATTGATGCGAACAAAATTACAGGATATTATCATTAGAATAACCAGCTTTCAATTTTTGAATTAAGAAATGGCAATCAATTCCCTCTAACTTGTACCTTTGAGAAAGATTGTACCAAATAAACTTGAGGAGTAGATATTCACTTAAAGTTCGTCATACTTGCTAAAGGAAATTTGCATGTACGATTAAAACTTTCTAAAGAAATTTGTAAGGCATTTATCAATGACTTTGAGTCAAATACTATTCCAACTTTTGGATCATGTACGGAATCAACCATGATCTGCAAAGACAAATCACATTCACATTCTTGTTTCTAGTCGACGACTATTGAACAATGAAACAAGAAATTGTTAAGAAAACAGAAGGCCCTTCTTAGATTTCTTATATACAATAGTGATGGAAATCTCTGTTTTAGGCCTGAATGTTCGACAGTTATGTGAAGCCCGACTAATAAAGCAAGTTAAGAGACATTAGCATATTGGAATCACAGTTCTTAACCGGTGGAGCCAAATAGTTCCCACAAAATGGGGGAAGAAAATGAAGTAGAAAGTGGAAAACCTACCAACGGGAAATCAGAAATTCAACTTCAAAAGCAAGAAAAGATACTGGTAGTTTATCTATACATGGTATATGGCTTTCATCAAAATAAATTTAGTTGTTACATATTCAATAGTCCATGTAAACTTCGAAAATTGAAGCCAATTCATGAAAAATGCTAGTTTAAGTTTAAAACAGTTAAAACTCCATTAATACGTAATCATCCTCAGTTACATTGACGTAAAATTACAACAAAATTACCAGCTAAAAAAACTGGCAATTTCACAACAAAAAATGGGCCAAAACACACAGACACATATAGAGAATTTATTGAAAGAAACACAAGTAGATATATATAGATATATAATATAAGTTTAATTAAGCAACTGGGTAAGAAGCTGCCATTGCAATCCCACAGAGTCCTCCTTCCACACCAGCATTTCTTTGAATTTTCATGTAGCCAGCATCACCCCAATTTTCACCCCATGAATTCTTAACCAACCAGTAATCCATTCCATTTTCACTCCCATAACCAACTATTGTTACTGCATGAGTCAGTGAATTTCCACAGCTTCCAGTAAAAATCCCACCTGAATAAAACTGAAAATCACTTCCGTAGGCATCAATGCCAACTGAGACAGGCTGATTTGCAACAGCTTGTTGTAATGCTTTCTCATCATTTTTTGGTACATCTTCATAATTAATGATCTCCACGACGGGAGTTTCTGTGTTGCAAACTCCGTTGTCGCTTTCTGTGTATTCGTAATTTTCTTCGGTGGTGATTCCGTTATTTTTCACGTACTCGAATGCGTAATCCGTCCAACCACCAGAGCATCCATGGTTTTTCGATACACAATCTATCAGTTGTTGCTCGGATAATGATACCAATTTACCGCTTTTGATCTGGTTGATACTTTCAATTGCTGCCACTGCTGAAAATGCCCAACAAGATCCTGCAAGCAAATAAACAAATATGGTTATGTTAAATAATTATGTATGCATTTATACGGGCAAAATTTAATTTGAATCACTGTGCTTAAAGTTTTTAATTTGAGATATTGTAATATTTTTTTATAATTTATGATCTCATAATTCAGATTTTAGTTAAATTCATTACTTTTTTATTTAAAAAAGTAAAAAAAATTATATTACACACTCATAAAAGAGACAGATTAATAATTTGATTAATATCTAAATGATAAGATAGTGGGTGTAAAAAAAATAAATAAATAATCTTGACTTAAAAAATTTTAAACTATAAAATATCAAATTAAAATTTGCTATAAGATAAGAGATGTTTTTAGTTACCACAATGCTTTTGATTCTTGACTCCAGTAACAGCTCCTTTCTCAACCCAGTTGACACTGAGTGGGACGTCAGCTAGATTATCGTATTTGAATGTGGTTGATGCAGACCTTGTGGGCATATTGAATCCTGTATAATAAGCTAAAAATTCTTCATTAGTCATATCTGCAAATTTATTAAGACTTAATTGATAACTCTGATTTCTGGCAATTTTGGAATTCTCAATATATTTGATGTTGTCCTGAAATATCTTAAAACGCATTTCTTTTTCCGCATTGTCCTTATAAACACGTCCATGTTTTTCCACCCATTGTTGATGTTTCTCGACTATGAGAGTGTCTTGAAGCGTCCGCGACATTACCAGAAAATCGATAGTTTGTAGAATCATCACCAAGGTGATGATGATGATTTTTGCTTCAACTCTTAAAGCCATTAATGAATACTTGCTGGAGATTGTACGAATGGTTTAAGGTTTAATGAAGGAGAGAGGAACAAGGTAGAGGTATTGAGGCACAGCTTGAGATAAAAATATATAGAGCTAAGGTCGGTATATATAGAGGATGTTGTGGAATAGCTTGAGATTATTTCATGTAGGGTTTTGAATGAGACTGCATTGTTTCCAATAATTCTTGCTTAATTGAAAAGAAATTTTTGTGAGAAAATTGGAAAAAAAAAACATTTTTTCTATTTGCCGTGTAAATCAATTCAAAATCGGCATACAGCTATGTATGTATGTATATATATATATATATATATATATATATATAACGTTTGTAATAGATTAATATATGTAACCATCTGTTCATATTCTTGGTGAAGCATATGATGCATTAACTTGAATTATTATAAATAAAATTGAAATTAATAATTATATGGAATTATTTAAATTATATGAATGCCTTTGCTTGTTCATACAAAAATATTTAGAAGAACAAAATTGCACTTGATCAACAGGATCCTGATTTTATTGTTTTGTGAATATGGTATGTAGTTGTTCAATTTTATATTATATAGGTGATTGTTAATTTATATATACATATATATGTTATTTTTTAAAGATATATTTAACTACTTTGAGAATTTAGTAAGCGTATAATATACTTAGATTGAAAATATGATTATGTATTGATTACTAATTTTTAAAAAATAATTATATATGTTTTAGATTAATTATTATATTTACATATTAAATGTTAATATGTGTTTCTTGATATGACCCGTATATGAAATGTGTTTACGCAGTCAATAAATTTACTAATTGAGATGTGTGTGTGTGTGTGTGTGTGTAAATATGACTCCTACAACGAAAGTTGACGGCAAAGTGAGTCTTAAAGTATTATTTGTCGATTTGGGTTGACTCTGGTTTATTAGCAAAGCAAAGACCATGTTTGGCGTTTGAAGTAATTTTGTGTTTGATGAGTTTTGCCGCAAGTCATGGTGGAAGTCTTTACATGCAGTCAAGTCGATCTAGGGATTTATTTTAGAGGAATAATATGTATTATGATGGTCTGCATGGGCTGGTAATAATATAATTTTTTGTATACGTTTGCTTTGATTATGTTTTATTTTTCTTGAATTGATAGATTTTAATTACTTCATTTATAAAATTTTGTGATAACTTATATTTTCATACGTAATTAAATTGACCTAATGTTGAGACATAGTCATTGTCTTTCTATCTTAATTCACATACTTTTTCATTAAATTCTGTAATAAAATCTTATAATATTAAATTTAATTAATATCATTGATTTAACTTTATGATTATCTCAATATATGGAACAGTAATCCAATCATTCAAATAATGAAAAAGATATATTAGATTAACATACGTAACATATTACATTTAATTATCTAGTTAGTACTTAGTTAGATTATCAATCTATTGATTAACAATGTAATTAAGTAAAGTTACATAGACCTACAAACTTTAGGTTATATCTTATAATTAATCCGGTTGAGACACAAAAGTAATTCTTGCAATACCCTAATTTTGTTTGTACTAATTAATCTGGTCAACCCACTTTCATTTGTTAACCCCATTTTCATATTCCAAACATACCATAAATTTCTCCTCTTGTTCAATTCTCATGTTGGAAATGAAGATCCTTTTATTAAGTACATCTCCAAAACTCCTTCTAAGGAACTTAAAATAAGCTATTACCTTTAATAAATCTCACTTCAGATGTTTTTTCTCATGAACGCTTGTTTATTGGTGTGATATTCGCTATATATCAGCTTGTGAAAATACACTTCAGACCTTGTCAGAACCTATTTTCTCAAGAAACACTGCATAAATCTTCCATTCAGCAAGCATGACTATATACCAAATAGAAAACAAACTGTTCATACATACTACAAAATTTGCATAATGTCATGATACATTTATATATATGTATATATAATCTCAAGGACTGCAAATTGCAAAGTTGGACGCACCCTCTTTGTTATTTGGAGTCAGAAGTGGAGCATCAAACATAGAAGGCAATATGGTACAGCATTTTTCTGCAGTCAGCAGAAAAGTAGGATTTTGAAGGAGTTGCATCTTTTCCTCTCCAACCAGTTGTTCGAAAACAATCAACACAATACATAAGAGAGTTCACCTGCAAATCAGAAAATATCTTTATACATTTTCAATATTAATGCGAACAAAATTGCAGGATAATATTATTAGAATAACCAGATTTCGATTTTTGAATTAAGAAATGGCAATCAATTCCCTCTAACCTGTACCTTTGAGAAAGATCGTACCAAATAAACTTGAGTGGATATTCGATTAAAGTTCATCATACTTGATAAGGAAATTTGCTTGTACGATCAAAACTTTCTATGCTGCCATGTTATTTGCCTACTTTCTCCCCAACAGATTTGCAAGAGCATCTATTAACGACTTCGAGTCAAATACTATTCCAACTTTTGGATCATGTACAGAGTCAACTTTGATCTGCAAAGACAATATCAATATTCACATTCTTGTTTGTAGCCAATGATTATTGAATAATGGAACGAGGAATTGTTAAGAAAACAGAAGGCCCTACTTAGATTTCTTATATACAAATGGAAGGGGCAATAGTGATGGAAATCCCTTTTCAGGCCTAGAACGTTTAACATTTATGAGAAACCTGACTAATAAAGCAAGTTAAGAGACATTAGCATATTGGAAAATGTTCTTAACCAGAGGAGCCAAATAGTTCCACAAAATGGGGGAAGAAAATAAGTAAAAAATGGAAAATCTGCAAGAAGGAACTGGATATCAGCAATTCAACTTCAAAAGCAAGCAAAGATACTGGTAGTTTAACTGTACGTGGCATATGGCCTTCATCAAAATAAATTGAGTTGTTACATATTCACTAATTCATGTAAGCTTCGGAAACTGAAGCCAATTCATGAAATAGCTAGTTTAATTTTATAGGAGAAGAATAAAGAAAAGTTACAAGAAATCCCATAGATATCGGTACCCATTTGATGCAATTCTCATTCTATTATTTTCATTTAATTACGAACATATACTTCAAAGTAGAGTGATATAATAATTTCACTCCTAAATTGGATCCTTGGAAATAGGATTATAATTCTAGCTTAAAGAAGTATGGAATAGCATTTTTCTTAAAGAATTCAATGTACCAGTGGAAAGATGCAAACACGGAAATTATGATCCTCTGCTGCATCGTAAGAACACATTATTAACTTGGTAAAAAGAATATGAAGTAAAATAAACCAAAGGGACACCGAGAACTATGACCAATGAAGAAGCCAACTGGAAAAGGCTGTAAGGAAAATACAATATTATTCACTAACGGCACAAGCAATAACATAAAACTATGATGGCAAAAATCTTGGGAAAAGCATGCATACCACATCCAGAATTCCCCGGCCAGCCAAGCATTCATAATCTATAGGAATTTCACCATCTTTTGGCACCAGAAGAGTATTGATGTACTGTCTTGGCTGCATGGAACATGACAACTGCAATAAGCAAGAAATTCAAGAAGCAAAGTTTTTTTTTTAAGACAAGAAGATATTGTCATTAAATACAAAAAAATTGACCATGAGGGCACCAACGGGATGCCGCTCATTTACAAAAATCACAGACAAATCACAATGAAAGATCAACAAATTTCTTAGAGCCTTTCCATCAAAGACATGATGGTCCTTTAACAAAATATTCAAGATTTTTAAGATCAATAGCTATAATAGCAGACATGACACCTACTGATTTTCGAGTTAATCATCATCATGAAGATCTATAAACCGGGACCACAACACTCTCTCTAATTCATAAAAATCTGGACATATGCCTCCAAACCACCTGATCCATCAGCATCCAATTGGGGATTGGGGAGTTCCAATCTTGCCTATTATCAACTCTCCCTCTAAAAGTCTGGGCCAAAACTGGCACATTTATGTAAGCTCGTTAATCTCCTTATGTGAAGCAGAACAAGAATGTCCTAAAGCAGACAGATTTCGATAATAAAATATATTAATGTAATTATAACTTAATATATTATTAAGGCATTTAGCTTATTAAGGAACTAGCATCTAGATAGCTTATTTAGTTATTTTCTACAGTAGGTTCTAATTAATTAGCTAATTTTCTTATTTGATTGAATTCCTAGCTAGATTTAAAATCTTTTGTTAATCTAGTACTTATAAATAGGATACCCTAACTTAGTATTAGGTAAACTATTAATATGATGATTATACAAACAATGAGTCATTAATTTGATTTTTGAGATCCGACATCTTCAATTTTAGTTCTTGGTAAATTTTTCCAAGTATTTTGTTCAAGCTCTCTTTATCCTGTATCACTTTGTCAGAATAATTTTTGCAGCAGCCCCACGCTAAAAAAATGGAACTCCGAACTCTGACCTATTTCTTAACATGTTCAGGCTTTCTGGGGACTTAAAAGATAGCACAACCCTCAAATTTCTCCTCCTCCCACCTGCTACTAATTAACTCATCAAAACAATGCCATTAACACCAATCTCAAAACTTATGGGTGTAAGACCCATCTATCCACTCAGAAAACAAAGAGGGTGGCGATCGGAACTGACTCAGAGGAGCAATTTTTTGTGCCAATTCAGCATCATGTCCTCAAGCCTTAAAAGACACCCAAAAAATATGTCAATTAAGAGAAAAAGATGATGTTTTTCATCAAATTGACAAATCCAGGTGCCACCAAATAGTCAGATCAAAGAGCATCAGTCCATCCGCAATTCTTCAGCCTTCAATTCCTAAAGGTAAATTAAGTCATCACTGCACTCCTTTATGGACCCCTTCATCATAGCACTTTTCTGAAGTTATTTAGACCCCTCAAGTTCAAAGATACAATCCAATTAATCTCCACAAACATTGGCGCCTTCTATAACCAACAGCATCCTCATGGAACCTTTGTGCCTTCCGATCTCCGAACACTGACCTCTCTAGTATTTTATTTCATCTTAAAAAGAAGGATCTGATCCTCTCCTTCTGAACTGTAATCCAGGAGTCATGACCTCTGAGTTAAAGGGACTCACATGGAGATCTCAAAAGGCCACGTAACAACTACGTGTAAAAAGGATAAATCAAAAATTTGTTTCTAACTTAATTTTCAACAACCTAAAGAATATCTTGGATTTCTGCTCCCTGAACCATATCAAAGAGACTCTCTCTATACCGTTAAATGCTTTCTTGGAAAAAGGAAAAGGTAAAAACCGGGGAAAAAAAAAAGAAAAAAAAAAAGAGAAAAAGAGAACCAGAAATTCCCAACAGAGCTGTAGAAAAGATTCTCTCAATAGAAAAACTCTCTTATTGACTCTGATTGACTCTTATAGGAAAAAAGGGAAATTAATAAGCAAAGAATATTGCCATAAGAGGCGCTTCCATATTGGAAATAACTTAATTTTCATAACCAAAAGAATAGATATCTATATGTTTACCAAACATAACAAGAATTATTAATGAAAGTATGTGCAATCACAGCTAAACAAGCATAACTCCATCACTCACAGCGTTGTATAGACAGTTATGAGGATCTCCATGTGTCCGATTTAGAGCATCTGTAATGGCAGTTACAAAGCAAGATGCAGAAAAGCCACTTGTCTCACGATCATGAGTGCCATTCAACAAAAGTACCTAATATTGTGCGGAACAAGTTGATACAAACACATAGTAAGCTTCCTATTAATTATAGTGGCCTCTCATACTCAATCACTAATTAATGTAGGTGTTAAAGGAGGAAAAGAATTATGAACTTATGAAACTAAGATTCTCAGATGTGGCTAATTAAGATGACTACAAAGGTAGATGACACATAAATAAACAAGGAAGAAACTTTGTTAATAAATTTACCCAAAAACACCAAAATAGTTTTTCTTGTAGTACCTTGGGAACTGACCTAGAAGAAATAACCTCTCCAATACCAAGTAATACCTGAAAGTAAGAAATAGGTTGTTATCATTATTCCAGTTATCAGGTATCAGAAGATACAAAACATAAAGACAGTCCCAACTATTTTGCAGATTAAGCTTTTCGATGGTGAATATCGTGCCTGGACTCCTAAAACCCTATCCATAAACACACAAAAAAATGATTTACATATGAATATTATCAATTTTTTGGATATAAAGAACAAGGAGAACCCGACTAAGACATTCTTGATAACAACACTGCACGTGCTCACTGTTTGTCACATAATCACTTGGCATTATCAAGTGATTGTCACCCCAACCCCACGAATTACGTGCTCATCGAAAGTTGCAATTATATACTGGAACATCAAAAACACATAGACAAGTTTTTGCACCATAGACACACAATGTTCATACTGCATGACAAGCTTACAAAATAAATTAATAAATCTGACAATTATGAATTAAAGAGCATTATCTCATGGTAACTCAATATATAAGCCAATTATATTAAATACAAAGAGAAAGTAATTATATTACCATGATATCGGTAAATTCACAAAGGAAAGCGATTGCAACATAAAGCATGTGAATATGTTCAAGAAAATGTTACCAG